AGACTTTGGTTCACTGACTTTTGGCCTTTTGTATTGCAGAGAAAAAGTCTGCTATTGGCCTGGTTTTCGTTCCTTTGTAGATAATTTGTGGGGTTTTTTTGTTGGTGGTGGTTTGTTTCATTTAGATACTTGAAGAATTGTTTCCCTTTTTATTTGCTCAATTTTTTCTTCAAGATTGTGTAGACACATAAGAATGTGTTGATTTTTATGCATTGATTTAACTACTAACCGTCTTGCTTAGAAATTTGTCTGTGATTGATGAGAAGTAAGATATCAAGTTGTTCTGGGCTTTGAAATATGATATTTATAGACCAGGTTATTCCATAAGACTTCCACACAACTGCTGGATGCCTTTTTCTAGAACCAGGAATTCTCTGTTTCTCCATACCTGTCACCGAATACAGTATCAGATAATGTCACTGGAATGCTTGAGATGATGTTTGAAAATCATCATGACCATTATGAAACAAAATAAAATATTTATTAGTATATCCATCACAGAATTTAAAGTGGAACTTAATCCTCTAATGATGAGGTCAAGAAACTCAATGCCATCTTGCAAATAACCCCAATGGCTTTTCAATTTACTAGTTGGTTACTGAGGACCCTCTGCATACCTGGTTTTTACTTCTTTTGTGATCACCTAACTGAGAGAGTGCAAACTAGGAGAGGCATCTCAAGTACTCTCAAGGGCGGTCAATCGACCACTCTGCGGTTAAGCCTAGTTTCTTTAGCTTCATGCAGATTTGCCTTCCCCAAATATTTTTCCTTGGCTTTTATCATGAGTTATTACAAGAACCTATTATATGGCAATTTCTTGAAGATGAGTTGTCACTTTTTAAACTGTTGTCATCAGGTACCCTCATATGAGAAATCTTTTTAAAAATTTAGTAATTAAAGACAAAACTTCAGTGTCCTGTGAAAATTAATATGATTCCATGTTTTTAAATTTCGAGAACTATATAAATATTGTGTATTTTTTTTTCATTTTCTTGTCTGTGAGGTAGTTCTGAAGCAAATTATTGCTTAAATGGTATTAACGTGCATGATATCTTGTTAGTTTCACTCTTTCTTTTCAATTGCTTGCTTAGTTTATTTCCCAGAGAGGTACTATATTAGTTGGGATGCGTTTTTTGGCTTGATCAGGAGCATAAGGCTGCCCAGGCTCTGAGTCAGCATTTGGGCTTTTGGCCTATTGCTTCTTGTTGCAAAGTGGCTTCCCCGGCTCCAAGCATCATGTTCCCCAAGCATTCCAAAGCAGGAATCGGAAGGTAGTGTGGGGCTGAAAGGTTCTCCCCTGGGTGTCTTTCTCAGAAGAATCCCCAGCGTGTTTCTTTTATAGATACTTGACCATATCTGGGTCACATTGCCATACTTCCCATAAGGAACATGAAGAAGTGAGTATTGGTTTTTCAAGACTTCCACAGTGGGAAGCAGGCAAGAAAGAAGGAGATTGATAATTACTTTTGGGTATCCAGTGGACTTTTTTCTCCCCAAGTGGGACAAACAAAGTAAGGGCTATTGAATATAAAAATTATTCATAAAGACTTGCATAATTGTGTTGGTTGGTTATTTAGGTTACTCTCTATACACACGCATACACACACACACACACACACACACACACACACACACACACATGAATGCACAAACGCATGCAGATAGCCAGAGAAAATATTTACTGAGATACATTTGTGTGCATGTGTGTGAGTGTATGTGATTCCTGTGTGATGAGAAATTGGAAATAGCATTATAATTTAATATGTTAAAAGGTATTGTTCACTTTAAATTGAAATCTAAGAAGCTATTTTTGAAAACTTTTAAATTTCATATGAGAATAAAGTATATTATATGCTGTCATGATAATATATCATGTATTGTGTATATAACCAATAACCTACCAATTGAAAACTGATTATGTGACTGTTTTTACTTAGAGGAAGTTTTGCATTTTATTGAAGATGAAGGCTTCAAAATACTGGATCAAAGACAAATAATATTATCAGAACAGGAAGCACATACACTGTGCAAGGAATATGAAAATGAAAACTATTTTGAGAAACTTATAGAATACATGACCAGGTAGAGTTCAGGTTTAGTCGGATTTATTTTTTGAATCACTTAAAACTTCTCTTAAGTCTGCTTTCTGTTCAAGTTGCCAAATCTCTCAATTCTGTAAACATGTTCTGAGTCTACTTCTTTGACAGTCCTGCTCCCATCCTGATTCTTTGTTCAGCAGTCAGTCTGTCTCCTCTAATCTTTCTGGAGCAATGATCAGGTTCCAGGGGAAGTTGCTGTAGCCCAGTTGAGTTGAACACCAGAAATCCAGGGTGTGCACCATCGTCAAGTCCAAGTAGAGAAATGACTGATTCTCAAGGGCTTTGGTAATCCTACAGATCACCAGTTCTGGGAGAAGAATGAGATGCTAGAAATCTGCCAGGCTTCTAGAATAAGTGAAAAATGGCAGCTGAGGCAGACATCCTGCAAGGGTATATAAACCAGCAGGAGCATGGGAATAATGAAGGAACCACCTATAAGAACAAAGGACTTCTCTTCCCTTCCTTTCTCTGCTTCCATTCTTTTATAAATATGCTTCTGAAAATGTATGAATGGAAATCAATTTTAGAACCCTGTTAAAAGGATTATTTCTTACATATTTTAATCTATTTAATGGCATACATTTGCATTACCTATATGTAATTAGCTACTGAGCCACACTTTTATTAC